TTGTTTTAGTGAATCAACTTAAACCCTTCTTAGATGTTTTCTCCATATACGATTGCTCTTTTATATAAAGCTTTCTGATACACATATGATTGTCTGTGAATTTCTCTAGTCCTCCCAGGCTAATACATGGACTAACACAAAAATAGATGTACATTTTTTGGGGGAATATGTTCCTTAAAATCAACACACCTGACCTTTGTGATATTTTACATTCACTATTTTAAAGGGATCTTTAAAAATATAAGAGAATTGATTTACTAAACATATTAGTTATTTTATTGGTGGCTTAACATGAAATATTTCAGGCTTAGGATCATTTGTGTTGTGTATTTATAAATCTACCTACTTTATTTCCAACAGGAGGGTTAAATATATATATGACATTAAATATTACAACCTAAGATAATTTGAGAAATGTGATATTAAATGTCTAGGTAATTGAATTTGTCCATTACTTTTTTATTTCCTGCCCCTGCATAGCTCAGCAAGGTCATCACTGTGACCTGGACACTCATTCATAGCTCAAGGCCTGACCTTCGGCTTGGGCTTTTTGGTGAACACTATGAAAACTTTCCTTTTATGTGCAAGCTATAAATATCAAAAGAACATTTGCCAACATTTCCTAAGCAGAGGATGTACTCTACTCCCAAAGGACTGTTACATAACACTTGAGTTCTAACCTCCAAATTGGCTGGTTCCCCTTCCGCTCTATGGTCAGCCTTGCCACAGTGATCTCTTGTTCCCCAGTTCCTGAAGCTCTGATCATCTGTTAAATGAGTGCGAATCTTTGTGTGTTTGTCTTCTTTTCAGTGTGTGCCTCATCTTCCCAACTATGTGCAATAAGCTTTCCTGAATCTCAAAAGCTCACTAAGGGAATCACTGACGAATAGATCCCTGCCAGTTAATACTTTGCTAGAAGCTGAAAATTCCTCTCTCAGTCCCATTCCAGGAATACCTATAAAGTTGTTTAGAGCTTTCTCCCGCTATTTCCAAAATTCGATGCCCAGGTTTTCTGCCTAAATGAAACAGGAAGCAAAATACACAAATAACAGAGACCAGAGTGGATAAGCATAGTTAGGGGGGAAAACTTTATTATCTTTTCCCAAGTGATAAGAAATTAGAGCCTTCCCAGGGGGACTGATGTGGTTATGTGTGAGTTGCCAAGCCACGTGGATTAAATCAGAGGTGTTGTCTCTAACCACCAACCTCTGAGATACTTTCCGTAGTCTATCCACATGCAGGGACTTGTGGAAGAAGTTATCACAGAGGCCTCCTTCTTAATACTCCTCAGAAAATGGGTAATTTGGGTGGTCCATAGCACTAGAATGAGAAAGCACAACACAGGATGCAGACTCAAAGACTACTAACCCAACAGAGGTTTCTGTGAAATGAGCACGAGGTTGAAAGTCAAATATTTTATTTCCTAGATGCTTGAAAAGTCTGCCTTTCTCACTTTAATTAGCATGATTTTATAATAAATATTTTTGGAACATAATAAATAGTTAAGATTATATTTCCATGCCTGGAATTTAACACAGAGAGATGCATAGGTCCAGAGGTACAAATATATTCCCCCCCCTTTAGCTAAATCTGTCAACCAAGAACTATCCTGTTAATTTTTTTTGACTTCTCAATGAAAGGAGAATCCAATTCTGTGTTGTTTTAAGCAAGGATAAATCTAACTTCATGATCAGTATATAATTTTATTAATTAATTAATTTATTAGTTAAAATTAATTAAGAATATTAGTAAGTATTTTAGAGTGATACAGGCTGATAGCAATTTCACTCTACTAATTTATTCATTTCCTAGTAACTGCCTACCACATGCTATCTATTACTTTATTCAGAAATTGGTATTGTGCTCACTTCAGCAGCACATATACTAAAATAGAAATTATTATAATACATATATGCAACATGATATCATCTCTAAGGAGTCTACAATAAGAGGGGCCCCACTACATAACAGCAATGCAAAGTATAAAGTGATAGAATATGGTTAATGAGAAATTAATATTTAATAGAAGAATTACTGAAAACACCACACCCTCTCTGTTTGCATGCTTTCTCTATTATTTTCCTCACTTTCTCTATACTAACACAATTCATTACCAATGATAATAATACACTTGCCCATTTTTGAATACTAATACAGTATCATTGTGTGAATTCATTTTCAGCCCATTTTTGAATACTAATACAGTATCATTGTGTGAATCCATTTTCATACATGATCACAATATTTCTATTATGAATTAAGATCCCCACAGCAGAAGAAATACACTTCCTAATGTTCTTTCATTGACAGTGAGTGCCCTCTCTGAGTCCTAGAATCTTATAGTATGAAGGAATACTAAAGATTTTTTTTATCGGTTGCCTATTGTCTCCAACATTGAAGATTTTCCTCCATTCTCTTTCTTTGGTTCATCTTTCTTCTCTTAACTTTCTTTATCCTTTGCATTGAGAGCTCCATATTTCAGAAAGTAAAACCATGGATTGAACGCTCACAAAGGCCATTCTTTCAAGGAGTCGAGTTTACTTTCCTGAACAAACATGGGATGGAAAGGAAGGCCGGGTTTGAAAACTATCACTCACTGCCACCCAGTTGCTTCAGGCACATACTGACCCTATACACGGATTTTCAGACTGTAAGTCTTTATCGGAGCACACAGCCTTATCTTTCTCCCAAAGGGTGGATGGTGGACTTGAATCTCTGACCTTGCAGTTAACAGCACAACACTGCACGCATTGAGACCTAAAGTTTACAAGATCTAGTGAAGAGGATGGAAATCTCTGGCTTGGACAAGAAGACTGATGGAATTGGTTTGGATTGAGCAGGTTTGAGGAACTGAGCAGGTTTAGGGGAAGAAAATGACAAAGACAATTTTGGAAGCATTTCATTAAGTGACTGTGATAGTTAAGGTGTTCAGTCCACTTGTCTGGGCCAGGATTCTCAGAAGTTATCAGGTAAGACATAGTAATTGGACTTCGGTTGTTGGCAGTGGGTTTAGTTTTGCTTCTTAGTTTAACCTCCCATGAAGAGATTCAATATAATGTAATCACTTCCATTGCTGAGATCTGCTACAAGGAGTGAGCCCATTGAAAGGAAGATGCTTTGGGGGTGTGGTGGGCTTCCAATATATGTGCACACTGTGGAAAGGCTTGCTTGTTTTTCACTGGGTGTGGTTCCTTCATCTGGCCCATAACCTGACCTCCATTCTTTTTTTTTCTCCAGAAAAATTTAACAGTTTTATTTCTAATTATTACAAAGTTGAACTGCGGAAATGTGTTCACTGAAACATTTTGACTTGCATTAATGCTTCATGTTCCTGCATTAGGTTAAAAATTCACAAGCATTTGAAAATGGAAAAATTGAGCACACCTGATTTCAGTCCCTTATTTTCCATTCACAATCATATACTTAGTTACCTTCTGACACCGTGGGAAAAGCCACATTCCTATCATTCAGAGCTACCAGTAACAGGAAGAAGAGAATCTTAGAATGAAATGTTTCCCATCAAAGTTCATCCTTAAGCATGTTCTCCACATATGTGACGTGATTGCTGGATATCTTTTGGCATAATTGTTACACGTTTGGCATGAATAACATACAGGTTGGTGTCTTATAAAACGCCAACTGGTAGGCCTCACTTGCTTCCTGCAACACAGTGATAACTGCGCTTTGAAGACCTGAGCAGTTTCTCGCTCCAAATCCTGGAAGGGAAGTTTGCAAAACAGAATTTGGGCGGACTTCTGATAAGGTTTAATTTCATGAAGTGCCACAGGACCAGCCCTGTAGTGATGGGGTTTCTTCACCCCTTAAGTAGAAAGTACATTCTTGTTAGTGGCTTTTGTAACCAGCTGCTTCCTGCATGTTTTACCACTCATGGATTTGCAGGCAGTCTGCTTTGCAGAAGCCATGGCAGCAACGCCTCCTCACTTACCCCCCTTCTCCTTTAGCTGGAGCTCCACGAGCCAGAGGCAGCACTGGCGTTACACAGTAATGCTGGCTCAGGCAGCAGCCCACACAATTCTTATCTCCATTTTTGGACTTGAGACAGTGACTTGCCATTTTGCCTGCTGATCCTAGGAGTTGTCAGCAGCCTGCCATCTTACCTGCTGACTTCAGATTCATTCAACTCTGCAGCCAGAAACCTGTCACCTTATCTGTGATGTCATCAGCTCCTGTAGCTACATGAGTTAGGAGAAACCTCCAGCCTGACATCTGACCCACAGACTTGGGACTTGCCTGCATCTACAACTGTGTGTGCCATTCTTTTGACATGAATCTCTCTGTATGTATACATGTATACACTTCACTGGTTTTGATTCTCTTGAAAGCCCAGTCTATGCAGCATCTGTAATATTCCCAATATATTCCCACTAATTTGTAGTAGAGATGGAAGATGCAAATGCACCAATAATATCGTTTTCTCCTAGACAGTTTATGGAAATGAGAACGGAGTGTATTTGAATATCCAGGCTAACGCAGAGCCCCTCTCACTCTTTTCCTTATTCAGCAAGTAGCTTTGAGGTGAACTTACTTGAGAGTTTTGGGTAAGCTCCTATCTCATTACTTCCTAAAATTGGATACTGTCTTCCTGATATTGAGGTAACAACTCTCCTACTTTCTTCATCTGAAAATGCATCAAAGCAAATATCTTTACCAAAGATACTTACAATGAAATGGTAGTATAGCGAAAGTTTTTGTTTAGGCCATCTAAGACTTTCATGTCCTCTGAAGTCAACTGGAATTCAAACACCTATGAAGAGAGAGAAAATCATTTAAGATTATTTTTAGATTATATAATTTCCAATCTTGGAAAATCCAAACAGAATAATTAGTATAAACAAAATATGTCTGGGGCCAAAAATCAATGAAGAGCAACAGCAAAAATCAAGATTGTTCACACTAACAAACACCAGTTTGAAACTAAAAAAGAAAGAAATGCTCCATTTATACTAGCAACAATTAGATATATTGCCTTGGAGTAAAATTAACAGAAAATATTGTTATTTCTGAAGAAGGTTCTAAAATACTTATATAAAAAGAATTCAACAGATTGTATAAATATCTTGTTCTTATAGAAAAAGAAAGCACTCAGTATTATAATAATTTCATTTATTGTACATTAATCATTACTTTTTGTTGATTTTTAAAATTGTGATCATTTTTGAGACTGAAAAGGGAGCTCTAAGCCAGATAAAGCATTGATAGTCCTGGGACAGGCGTACACTGGAACACTTCCAAGCAAATCAAGACCTATGGCTCTTCTACTCTTGAACCATTTGTCAAATTCTATGATTTGGCTTCATTGTTTTAATTTTGTTTAGTTTTAGCAGATTGATGGTAATGTTCAAAGAAGAAGAGACAAAGTTAGAGTGTTTTCCAAGTGGGAAATTCAATCAGATTGAAATAAGTCAATCACAAAAGGACAAATTTTGTAGGGTTACACCCTATGTTTGCACTCTGAAACACATATTTTACCTTTAAGCTTGAACTATGCCAATGGACTATAAAGCAATTTTAGTGTTTCAGATATTCACCTTGAGCAGAAAAATGATGAAAATCACTACTGAGATTTGGATTTACAAGTGTACCCTAAGTGGGATCTGAAAAATCAAAGATTCTTAAGCTTTGAAATTCATCTAGCATGAACCTGCACTGGTAGTGTGATGGTTAAGGTTGTATGTCACTTTGGCTAAGCCACAATTCTCAGTGGATAACAGATAGTATGTGATCACCCTCCATTTTGTGATCTGATGTGAGCAACCAATCATTTGAAAAGGGAGTGCGGGCTGTATTCAATATCCATCCTATCCTGCCTTATTGACCTAGTGAGGTTCCCAAGACAAAGTTATTATACAAACTTATTGTTATGCAAAGATGGAGGACCACCTGTCAGATGACAAATGGATCAATACATAGCACCCAAACCACTGAGATTACTGGCTGCACAATGTCAATACACGTAACCGTAACCATCACAGCCAATGTTACTCTCGTTTGACATTTTAGTATTTGTTGCTGCCAGGCGCATGTTGCTAATGCATAAACTAGTTGGCTGATTTTTTTGCTGTTGTTATAAATGCAAAATATCAGATAATAATGTAGTTGATAATTGAGGATTAGGTGTATATAGATGTTCTGGCAAAGCTCACTTTCTCTTAATTCTGCATTTGATCCCACATTCATGTTGTCATCCTCTGACCTCTGGTTCTTGGGAAGTGTTCCAGAGCCTGCTGACTGACTTCTAGATTTTAGGTTAGCCAATCCCTGCTACCATGTGAGTAAGGAGAAGCTTAAAGCTTTCCACTGACCCACAGATTTGGAACTTGTC